AGTCTGGCGTGATTCTAGATTGGCATATCTAATGTGATAAAAGCTCGGAAATATTTTATTGCTCTTGCAGTCTTGTTCGATAACTAAAAGTGAACTCACATTGAATTTAAACATATTGAGAGCAATTCGACATTTTTAAAACTTGTACATATTTTTTTATAGTTACACAATATCTGAAAGTGGCTAAATACAATTGTGCTGTCTTTTTACTTTTAAACATCCAATGATTTTAATATAAATTATTAATTACAATATTTGAGATAGTATAAAAATTTTGTTTCTATTATAAATAGAAGTGTAAACAAACAATGACTTGGGGATCCAAGCAGAATTGTAACGGAGATGCAAATTTAATGTTTCTAAAGGACTATAATGATCAAATTTCTGTTTATCAGGAAAGATTACCAGTAAGTTTTATTTTTTTACACGAATTATATGTTAAAAAATAATATTATTATGTGATATAATAAATTGAATTAATAAATAATAAGGACAATATATGATAGCGTAAAAATTAAGAAATGTGACAAATTTTTTTTCTTTTAACATCACATACATCATTATTTATGTAATTTTACACAAATCGTCAATTCTTTATTTTTTATTGAATAAATATTTATTATCTTGTTAATATATTATCTTCTTATTTATTTTAGTCAATCTGTAAAGAAGCACCTTTTAGTGACGATCCAGATGCTATCGTAGAAAGGAATGCTTGCGATTATAATACGCGAATTACCTTAAAACAAGCAAGAAGTGGCAAAGGTATATATTTTATAAATTCTTATGAAAAATATTAAATATTATAAAAATTTTTATTTTTACATATCATTTAAATCTCCTTTTTTTATAGTTCCTAGAAAAATTAGAGTTTATGCCGACGGTATTTATGATCTCTTCCACCAAGGACATGCACGACAACTTTTACAGGCTAAAAATATTTTTCCAAATGTTTATCTTATTGTTGGAGGTAACTGCAAAATTGTTTAGGAAAACTTTATTATAGCACATTTATTATACTTTGTTCTTGTTTATCGCTAAAATAAAATATAAATCTACTTATCGTACATCAATCAAATAATTTTTTTTACAGTGTGTAATGATGAATTAACACATAGCAAAAAAGGAAGAACTGTAATGACGGACTTGGAAAGGTATGATGCTGTTAAACATTGTAGATATGTAGATGAGGTTGTTCGAGATGCACCCTGGGAATTAGATGATGAATTTATAAAAAAGCACAAGGTACATATATACATCTTTAAATTTATATAATCAAGTGCTGTACATTTTATTTCATAGAAATTGCATGAATTATGTTGTATTACAGATAGACTTTGTTGCTCATGACGATATACCATATATGACAGATGATTCATCAGACGTTTATGCTAAATTAAAAGCTAAAGGTATGTTTGTAGCCACACAGAGAACAGAAGGGGTTTCCACGTCGGATATAGTTGCGAGGATAGTCAAGGATTATGATATATATGTCAGAAGAAATCTCGCACGAGGCTACAGTGCAAAGGAACTTAATGTGTCTTTTCTCAATGTAAGTGATTATGAATCATATAGTGTCATTTGCCATTTTTACATTATTGAATTTAAACGTTATATGATTATATTGAAAAAAATACGCAAAATAGTAATAAATAAAAATTAGTTGTAATAATTAGTAAATATTAGTTACAACAAATATGTGTTATAAAAAATAAAATCTCACAGGAGAAAAAGTTTCGCCTACAAAACAAGTTTGATGATCTAAAAGATAAGGGGAAACGAGTAATGGAAAATATTGGTGAAAAACGAATGGATATGATAAGCAAATGGGAAGAGAAATCTCGGGATTTTATTGATGCCTTCCTCTTGCTCTTCGGCAGAGAAGGCAGATTGGTATGTATGTGTGTGCAGATGTGTGTTAATGGATGCATGTTTTTTAAATAATCTTTTTCTAAATCATATGTAAATTATATGAAGATATATTGGAATTTTTTATTTTTGTAGTCAACAATTTGGAATGAAAGTAAAGGACGCTTAATGCAAGCGTTATCTCCACCAGCGAGTCCGAAAAGGGACGGTAGCCCAAGTAGTAGTAACAGCAGCCATGATGAAGATCAGGCAAGGTTTGTTTTTTTTTTTAATATACTGTTTGTAAAAATCTATATATTTAACTATATATATATATTTTAATTTATATATCTTATCTATCTCTTACAGTCCACCACCAAAGAAAACAGGACGTTTTGAATTTTCACAAAATAATCACTATTTAAGTGATGATTACAGTGATGATGAAGAAGAACATCTACACTCCAAATGATAACTAATTAAAATGCATATATTCTCTTTGACCAAAATAAACGTGCAATTTTTATTTATTACCTTGAAAGTTTAGATGTATTTTCATACATAAACTGCTGATGATGATATGCTTAATGGATTTTGTATGATATTAACTAGCACTATATATTAAACAAAATTGCCTGTTGTGATGTGAGAGTTTAGTGTGTTTTTGCAGATTTTATTAATTAAATCATAAAAATGATAATACATGATAATACATGATGATAATACATGATACATGTAGAGAGATTATCTGAGCCATGTATTACTCAATATTGTTTTTTAGTGTTCTTGCTTTTGAGATGTTATTACACCGCTTAGTTCCTATGTTACTTAATGCAAATCGTATGCGTTCATTTATTTTTAATTTGGTTTCATAATGGAAAATTATGATTAATATATGTATCCATATTTTTAAAGTAAGCGAAATGATTAAAGTTACATTTAATAAGACATATATATTAATACGTGCTATTATTTTATAATTAATTTTGTACAGATTTTTATAAAATAATATTATATTCAATTACATTAATTATAGTTAAATAATTTATTTTTTATCTTTGAACATGCAAAATCAATTATGATCTAATTTAAATGAATGCGATTAATATTATAATTATTATATATAAGTTTTATTTCAATTATGATGATATAATAAGATATACAGAACGGATATTTTTAGGCTCAGAGATTGCAAAATTTAATTTTTATTGTATTTTGTATGCAAATGTAAAAAATAAATGAATATTTAGAAAATGCGGCATTTTAAATATTTTAATACATTGCTTTATCAATCATATAGTTAACCTTCGTGTGTGATTCCATATCTTAAAAATTCCAGGGTCAAAATACCAGGGTCAAAATAAGCGCATTTAACTAATTGCCGTATTTAGTTTTTGTTTCTTGAAATAAAAAAATTACTGGTAAAAAATTACTTAAATGTGATTGCGAAGGGTGAATATAATATTTCTAATTATTTTCTCTTTATCCCAAAAAAATCATATGACCAATAAAAATCGTTTGTATAATGTGTTGAACTAAAATGATCCTATTGGTTGTGTGACTTTTGAAATTTCGACTCTCATGGAGAAGTATTCTTGTATCCACCAATGTAGACCAATGTTTTGATTCATCTTTTTCTAATTGTAAAAATTATTACGAAAACATATGAAAAATAAATTAAACCAAGATTAAAGTTAATTATTACATTGTTAATTAGTACATTGGTGGAAACAGATATTGACTTTCACAATTTGAAAATCGAATACTCGAAATTACTAAATTATTCTTTGGA